CAGGCTGAGGGGACCCCCCCCCAGTGCACAAATTTTTGTGCACCGAGCCTCTAGTATATATATAAATAAAATATATATTTATGCTTGTCAAAGAAATGATTCCTGTTATAGAAATGGAATCATAGAAATGTTTTTCCTCAATCTTTTTAAATTCAGAAAGTATTAAATAATATACCACATTATACAAAATAGAAGAAGGAATTGCTGTTTTTAGAGAAAATAAAGAAGTTTCTTTTTGGTCTTTTTTTTGTATTAAAAAACTTTGAAATCATGAATCAGAAAGTTAAGGCTAGAGATAATCGATCCATTCTTGGTTAGGATGGAATGCACTTAAACTATTTTCAAAAGTAACATACATGCTTTGTTTGTTTTTTTGTTAATCCTACCCAAGGATAATTTTTCCCATTGATTTTTGGAGAGATTGGAGTGGGTGAGAGAAACATCGATGTGAGAGACACATTGACTAGTTGCCTCCTGCACTGCCCCAACCAGAGTGGGAGATGGAGCCTATAACCCTGATACTGGGCCTATGGCCAGGAATCAAACCGAAGACCCTTCGGTGGATGGGCCAATGCTCCAACCACTGAGCAACACTCATCAGGGTCACACTTTTGTTTTTACATAATCTATTCTTTCCTGAAAGGCAGTAAAATTATACATAAGTGCCATGGAATTTGAGACATTCCTTTAAATATGAATTAAAAGTGGCATTTCTAAATGTTTTTGCTTTTAATGAGTGTGTGGATTTTGACCATTTTCTTGCAACAGTTATTTCAGAAAATTAAAATGTATGTTAGCTATTCCCATTTCTCCAAGTGTTCAGCTGACATTGAGATTTACAAAGAGATCCTTATTTTGACTAAATTTTAATATGGAAAGCAGTGATAATTTATCATGTATTGATAAAGATTCACTATCTTCAAAAAGCCTTCAAGAAGTTGGGTAGACTGCTTAATAGCATTGATAAGAACAGGTGTGTACTTAAACAGAGACACAAAATTGGGGCAACTTTGTTATAACCCTTTAAATCATGTTGAATATACAGCCAGAATGGCAGTAAAGCTAAATTCTTTAACAAGTAGCTCCTATATTTGAACCACTCAGTTCTTATAGAAGAAATGCTGTTTAACCAACAAAGGGCATATCAATAAATTATTCAGTTACTAATTATGTGTAGAATATTTTACTTAAATATTTACTGCCCAGTAGTTCAGTGTATTTTAAACTTAGGGTAGTGGCCCATTTTTGAGACAATGAAAGCAATGTAGGGTTCATTACCAGCATTTAAAAATCTACAATAAAAAATAAAGTAGAAAATATCAGCCTGTGTTGCACAAAGTAAGTGATTACTATTCTGTGAAACTTTAGCTTCACATAATCTGTGTATATAGGATGCATATTCATTAGAGTACAAATACTTGGTTATAGGCAAAGTTTGAAAGCCACCACCATAGTTCTTAACCAAAGAAAAATATTTATATTTTTTATCTATGACAAAAATAGTAACTACAATTTATTGAATAGTATATAATTAGCTCTTTTAAATTTAGTCTTTCCTTCCTGTGATCATTCTAGGTTGGATATCACTTCAATTTTATAGACTAACAGGTTCAGAGCCCTGGCCAGCGTGGCTCAGCATTTAGAATGTTGGTTCGAGGACTGGAGGGTCACAAGCTCGATCCTACCTGTGTTGCAGGTGTGACACCCAGCCCTGTTCAGGGTGCATGCAGGAGGCAAACAATGGATGTCTTGTTCTCTCTATTCCTCTTTACCCCCTCCCTTCCACTTTTTTAAAAATCAATGGAAAAAATATTCTCTGGTGAGGATTAACAAAACAAACAGAAATAGGTTCAGAGAGGTTATGATTTGTCCAAACTGAGGTCCATGCCCAGGTCTGTCTGGCTCTAAGATCCAGATTGTCTTTCTATACGAAAATAGTATAGATGTACCTCATTTTATTGTGCTTTGCTTTATTAGCCTTTGCAAATACTCGGTTGGGTTTTTGTGTTTGTTTTTTAGAGGGGATGGGGTAGGGAGGGAGGGAGAGAGAAACATCAATGATGAGAGAAATCATTGATTGGCTGCCTCCTGCACACTCCACACTAGGGATCGAGTCCGCAACCCAGGCATATGCACTGACCAGGAATCAAACCATGACCTCCTAGTTCATAGGTCAACTCTCAACCACTGAGCCACACCCGGCTAGGCAGTATATACTGCGTTTTATTAAAAGTTGAGCAACTCTATCAGTACCATTTTTGCAACAGGCTCAGATGATGGTTAGCATTTTTAGCAATATAATATTTTTTAAATTAAGTACTTTTTTTTAGACATAATGCTTTTGCACACTTAATAACTATAGTATAATATAAACATAACTTTTAATGTACTAGGAAACCAAAAAATTTGTGTGATTTGCTTTATTGTGATATTCACTTTATTGCAATGGTCTGGAACCAGACTTGAGATATTGCTGAGGTATGCCTGCAAGGAAACAAAGCATAACTAAGATGCAGTCCAGAGAGGTGTGGGGGTCAGCTTTTCTTTCTCCAAATCCCAGGACCTGGTAATGTGGTGGCTGCATGTATTCATTACAGGAAAATACTTTGGTGGTCCTTTGAAATTTATTCTATAGTAATAGCTTGGTTCACATAGCCCCTGAAAATAAAGGTTAATGAAGTCAACCATGTTTTCTTACAACACCGATAAGTTTGTTACGCCTTATTCGGTTGTAGAATAAGATGGAGATGGTGAGGAAAATTCTGTTGGTTTCACCACCGTTATTTGCTGTGACATTATTTACCAGTAGGTGCCGTCAAGCCTCTGCTTTGCAGATTCCCTGTAAAGTTAATGGGGGCAGCATGTAGGAGTTTTTAAGGCTGTGGAACTACATCTTTTATCATCTGTTTTGCCTTCTATTCTTTTCTGGGAATGAATCATCTGTCAATGAAATGTTTTTGAGTGATGACACATAAATTTGAAATTCTTTAAATTTATATAGGTAAGCTCTTTAAATGTTGAATTGCCTTTCGATTTGTTTTAACTCCTACAAACTTTATCAGACTTTCGACTCGCTAATAGAATTTGTTTTTAATTTGTTCAGCAGTGTGTGACAGTAAAGATTTACCTGATGCAGTTAGAACAGTATTAAAACAAGAAATGAATCGTCTTTTTGGAGCAACGAATCCAAAGAATTTTAATGAAACTTTTCTGAAAAGGAATTCTGATTCATTGCCACACAGATTATCAGGTAATCACTTTATTTTATCCTTATCATGGCCGCCTAAGACACCTTCATTTTTTATTTTAATGGCTCAATGACGTTACACATTTTTCACGTGGAAGAGTCAATGTGTATATGTCACATTTTAATCCATGAAAACAGGCAGCTTGTATACGCTTCCCATACAATTTTAAATTTCCTAGGCAAAATTATGACTATGAATCAAGGTTAGTAGTTTCTCCTGGCTCAGCATAGGCATTATAGAAAAGCAAGTATAACTGAATTTAGCTATAAATTACATACAATGAAGGAGAGACTTTCTTCTTCTTTCTCCCATCAGGGTATTCTTAAAATTCATTTGAATGTGACTATCATCCTCCATTTCTCATGTGTATGTAAGATAGCAAGCTTGACAGTGCTAAACACCTGAAACCATCCCACGGGCAAGGGTCATCTGGCAAGAATCTGTGCTAGCAAGCTAAATTCTGGACAAGATGGTATCATGTGGCTGGCGGTTTAGTAGGGTGCTTTAAAAAAACCTGGTTCAGTGGATAGAGCATCAGCCCATGGACCAAAGGGTTCCGAGTTCCATTCCGGTCAAGGGCAGGTACCTTGGTCACAGGCTCCTCCCTGGCCCAGGCCCTGGTCAGGGCTTGTGCAGGAGGCCTCCAGTTGATGAGTTTCTCTCACACTGATGTTTCTTTTTTCCACTCTCCCTAAAAATTAATGGAAAAATATCCTTGGGTGAGCATTAACAAAAATAAAAATCTGGCTAAGAAACCCAGCAGTTTTGTGTGCCTTTGTGGAATTCTCAATTCAGATTTTTGGCTCATATTGTCAAGGTTAGGTATTCCCTAAAACCCCCAAATTATGCTCATTTTTGAAAGAAAACTATCCAGGGCTTTGCCCCACGAAGCCTGGTGCACAAAAATTTGTGCGCTGTGGGGTAGGTCTCTCAGCCCGGCCTGTGCCTCTCACAGTCTGGACCCCTCGGGGGATGTCCACCTGCTGGCAGTCAGACATCCCTCTGGCAGCCTGGGAGCCCTCGGGGGATGTCCACTTGCCAGCGGGGAGCAGGCCTAAGCTGCAGCTGGACATCCTTAGCGTTGCTGAGGAGGTGGGAGAGGCTCCCGCCACCACCACTGTGCTGGTAGCCGTCAGCCTGGCTTGTGGCTGAGCAGAGCTCCCCCTGTGGGAGCACACTGACCACCAGGGGGCAGTTCCTGCATTGGGCGTCTGCCCCCTGGTGGTCAGTGTGTTTCATACTGACCAGTCATTCCCAGGCATTCTGTTGTTAGGGTCAATTTGCATATTATCCTTTTATTATATAGGATATTTGCATTTCTTCATAGTCTCTCTTACCTTAAACATTCTTTTTTAAAAATTTTTATTGTTGCCGAAACCGGTTTGGCTCAGTGGATAGAGCGTCAGCCTGCGGACTGAAAGGTCCCAGGTTCGATTCCGGTGAAGGGCATGTACCTCGGTTGTGGGCACATCCCCAGTAGGAGGTGTGCAGGAGACAGCTGATCAATGTTTCTAACTCTCTATCCCTCTCGTCCCTTATTTCCCCCTCCCTATGCCTCCCTCCATCCTGCCCCTGCCCCTCCTAGGCCTTCACCTTCTAGTTAGGCTATTTCTGGTCTATCCTCTCAGAATTAAAAAATAAATCACACTGTTTCAAATGGCTATTCTTATTTTTCTCATAAAGTGTCACACTTTGTGCACATATGCCTATATTTGAATGCATGGAGGATAAGATGCTGATTTTTATCTTGAAATAAAACAAATTTTTGTTTTTCTTCTCATTTAGCTGCCAAAATGGTATATTATTTAGATCCTTCTAGTCAGAAGCGAGCTATAGAGTTGGCAACAACACTTGATGAATCCCTCACTAACAGAAACCTCCAGGTAAAGAGTTTTTTATAACCTGTCTGTATGGGTACCTGACTACTTTTTGTTCCTCTTTTTATCAAGAGAACAGTTGTCACAAATAATATTTTTGTTATTTATGCATTCAAACTATTACGAATCCATGTCAGAAAGTTACCTAATCTTAAATTTATTTATATTGTGTGTTTGTGCACACATGCATAGTTGAGTACTTGGCATTTATCTGTTACAGTTTTTTTTTTTTAGAATGTTTTAGTAAAAGCATATATACATTTCAGTGTTAATTTTGGATTTCAATTCATATCTCATATTTCTTAACAAGCAGTGGTCTCAATAAAGATTCTGACATGTTTAAAATGTATTTACCACGGGTTGAATTTATATACTCATTTTATAGCTTGTAATATAACATGAGATTAAGGAGAGTGAAAGAATACGGGTATGCTGAAAAATACAGATTGTAGTTTAAACTAAAAGTAAAGGACAGCTACTTTGTATAATGAGCAGCCAGATTTTTAAGAAAGCACTTGCTGAAAGAGTTAAATATTTTCCTTTAATAGCAAATGAAGGAATGTCTTTAAGAGGAAAATTACACTTCTTGGTTGCTAATTAATGCAGCATTTAGATCAGAGCATTTCTAGACTGGCAAGGTTTATAGGATATATATCTGGAAACTACATAGTGTTTTCCAAGTGGGAAGATGAAAGAAAACATGAGAACTGCAAGTCAACACAAATCATTCAGAAATAGAAGCAGCAGATGCACTTTGGGGTTTGGTTGGAAGAATCAGTTTTCATGAACACATTTTGTTTTTGCATATATGCTCTGTGTTTATGAGATGCTCTTTCCTGCTTAGTTATTGGACACATCTTAAGGTTCTCTTTAGTTTGAATACAAGGTTGAAAAGCAGTGTTCGATTTTGCCAACTGGTTCTTAGCCTCCAAAAAAATTAAGAGGCTTAAGTGCATTAATTGATCTTGGCATGTGAATTTTGACATATACAGGGCCAAACGAAGCCGAGTCAAGGTCGTTGCTTAGGATTCAGCACTTGCTGAAAGTGACCATCTCTTTAAATGTAGCACTCTATATACCTTGCTTGCCCAACCTTAGTCCTGGCCTTGCTTAAACATTCATCCTTTATATAAACCCTGCAATTCTGAAGAAACTAATTCTAAAGGAATATATATGTGGGAGGAAATGCTCCTATTTATCTTAAATATGTACATTGGCCTCTTACTTAGAAGTCTGTTGATAACAAAATGTCAGATTCACAGTAAAAACTTTTCTTTGGATAAGTTATAACATGACCTCTTTTCTTTCTTTAGACCTGTATGGAGGTATTAGAAGCCTTGTGTGACGGTAGCCTAGGAGACTGTAAAGAAGCTGCTGAAGTTTATAGAGCAAATTGTCATAAGCTTTTCCCTTATGCTTTGGCTTTTATGCCTCCTGGATATGAAGAGGATATGAAGATCACAGTTAATGGAGATAGTTCTGCAGAAACTGAAGAACTGGCCAATGAAATTTGAACATCATTAAACAAGCAAATGGAATGACTTTGGACCATATCTAGTATATAATATTTTTGTCACGCACCTGCTGCATTGCTCTGACTTAAACAGAATGAGAAGAGTAAATGTTCTTGCCTTCAAATAGTGTTTTAAGTTTTTTATCCTGCTGAGAAAGTATATATAAAATACCTAACATATTACAGGATATAGGTTCAGTTTCTTAAAAAATTAAAAGCTGCTAAAATTGAGGGGTTAAAAAAAAGAGACCTATCTTCTTCCTACCTACCTACCCATGTTTTTAAACTAATTTATATAAAATCTGGAGGCTGTTACAGCTAACAAAGCAGGTGTGTGGCAGAAATATTACTTTAAATTTGTCTTGTGAGATTTTACTATATCTCAGACAGCATAAATGCTGTTTTAGCACTGGATTCTTTCACTGAGCACAAAGAGTTGTTGGGGCTTTAGCATCTGACTGGTTTTGTTATGGGGTTGATTCTGGCCATAGGAAGTATGCAAATGTGAATCACTATTTACAGAGAAACCTACAACAGATGCTTGATGTTGTAGAAGCTGGGACATAGAGATACCAAGCAGAATTCTAAGAAACCTAGAGGGTGTTCAAAACGCGTGTGTTTCCAAAATTCACTGTACATGATCAGTTTGGCGTTCTTGTACCACAGTTTTTTTAACTGAAGATACCAGTTGGAACAATCAATTTTAACTAAAACTTGAAGAACTAAAATAACAATGCAAACCTTTCAGCATTGTTTTGGCCAAACTTGTTAAAACTGTAATGCAAGAACCAAATGCACTGTGATAATGGCACCAACTAATTAGCAAGCATGAATTTTTTCACCCAGAGTGAAAAAAGGAAATCTACCATGGCTTGAAGTAAAAGAGCAGAACTCCTGACTACCATTCTATGACTGATCAAGAGACTAATAGTTAAAAAACCTCAGCAGGCCTTGTTCACGATATGCAGAAAAAAAGTGCTGCAGTTTAGATACCTCTGGAATTTTTCCACAGTGTCACAGGTTTGTAATACTTGAAGCCCTACATTTCTAAGAATATATTTCTTGCTCAGTTGTTTCAGGCAAGCCCAAGACTTTGTAATTTTTAAAGGGCCCAAGATTTTTTTTTTCAATAACAGACCAGCTTCTTTTTCCTGCAGTTACAGATGTAATTTCCTTTTTGTTGTCAAAATGAGGTACCAAATATGATGCAATAAATTGTTTTGAAAAACAGTTGTGTGAATATTTCAACTAATCTGTGTTGGGCTTCTGTGAAAATATACAGGTGGAAACGGAGGTTGCAAGCCAGAGGCGCTGTAGTATGCTGGAAGGCTAGTGCAGTTGGGGGCTCTGCAGAATGGTCTAGTGCTGGTGTCAGGGAGTTCCGCAGTGCAGGTGCAGGGCCACTCCAGCAGACTTCACTCAGGGCTGGGATGGCTGCAGGTACTATGAATGTAATTTGTAATTAATAATTTGAAAGGAAAACAACTATTATTTTGATTAAGGAAGTGAGCCTTAATATGTTAAATCTATACACTGAGAACCAGCCTCTGGCTCAGGGTTCTCACTGTATTTGCAAGATCTGAACAAATAAGATTAAGTGAATCAGGTGTATGTGTAATTGGCCTTTTTTCGGTACCGTTATGGGAAGTATATTCTAAAGGGAATTTTTAGGAGACCCGATCTTTCCACTGATTGGACAGCTGTGCTAAACTCAACCTTTCATAGTACATTCCTGCATTCCACATCCCAGTCTAATAATTCAGTGATGTAAAGAAAAGTACAAACTGAACTTGAGTGCTTTGTTATGTTTTATTAACTGGCCTTGTCTCAGGAACATCTTAGCAGATGGCAAAAACGCCAACATTTTTTTCAACTGTGAGTGGCAGCTGAAGTTCTTACTCTTGGGAAAGAACACTAGTGCTACCTCTGCCACTAATGAGGTGATTGGAGGAGGCATCAGCCATATGATAGGGGGTGTATGTGTGAATTATGTTTAAATTCTACTGTATATTGAAATGGAATTATATTTGTTTCGACAATGTTGAAATGATGTAGATTGTCTTAGAATGAATATTCATAAGTACTCAACTCTCGATGCAGATGCCACCGGTGAGGAGTTAAATTCCTAATACATATATTGTAATTCCAACCCAGTTTTACTGGAACTATTGAATAAATATTTTATTTTCTTTCAGGTTTACTTGATAGTGGATACATTGTCTGGTGTTAGGGGACCTTGACAGGGTCCATTTTATGTCCAGACATCACCCCTAAAACATTGTACTGTACTATTATGCCCTGAATAGTATCAATGGGGTCATCTCATTTGCCTCATTTACTCTATTAATTCCAAATGATACTGTGGGGGGAGGGGGGAAAACAGGGTTAGAAAACAAGTGGAAAAGAGAACGCGGTGATGTTATAATCTAAACAAGTGCCTTATGTTTATTGCTAAGAACTGGTGTTATCAACCCTTTTGAGAAGAAAGGGTCCCTTGACCTGTATTAACATAGGAAAGTAAAGTTCTTTCTGTTTTTCTTCATATTTACTACTCTTGTCATTTCTCATTTAAAAGTTAAAGTCTGAGTAGGTTAGTTTACTCAACTTTAGATAGTTGCATCATACATTTTCAACATTTTTCTGTATCTATTATGCACAAGAATAAAGTGTGATCTTTAATAGCATGACTAAAAGTAGCCCCAGAATTAGTGAATAGCTTTCCCATGAGTTTTATGGGCCCTTGTTTTTCACAGAACTGTTTGTTTTCCATGGTGTGTTGCTGTTAGAGCTGTGAAATGAAAGCTGTGTTGATCAGAAGAGACCAGGGAAGTGTGGTTTAGATTCAGGTAGGTTGTGATAAATTCAGGGAAGTCTCTTCTGCACAATTTCTAGGAATATTCTAGTTGCCACGTGTAGCATCTGTTTAGAAAAAAGTAAGTGAAGTATTGGATTTTCCTACAAGATACCTATATACTTGTCTTAGTAATTACCAGCCTTAAATTTTGAAATTACTCAAGAGAATTCCAAGAAAGACTGACCTTTCAGATGGGAGATAGTCTTGTTCTGGCTCATGCTCCATTTCTTTAAGATACAGACAGGGTTTCTTGATACCATTCTAGATCTAAACTTCACTGAATCCACTGCCAATACAAAGTCCTAGGAAATGGCTATGTTGCGCCATTAGAAGCTGAAAACTTAAGCTTTTGATGATTGGAAATCTCACAACTTGTAGCAATAAAACATTTTGGAAAAGGTTATTTGGACCTTTCAGTATGTGACCTTCAAGAGGGATGTTGAAATAAAGTATTGGTAGTGTGGAGGAAGTTGTGAGGGAAATGCTCTTTGATAAAACAGAAAAATTAGACATGCTCTAGATTATACAGCCTACTTAACACTGCTACCTCCTTAGAGGGACATACCCCTCTTATGATACAGTAATGGGCAGAGGAAAGGGAGCAGTATGTTGTAGGAAAGAGGGTCTAAAGGCTTCCAGCCTCTCAGTTTATCCAGTTGCCTTTGAAGTGATGCCATCTTGGAATTGTAGCAAGAAAAAAGAATTGGTACTATTTAAATGAAAACTTTACTAAGTTGTTGATTAAAGGCAAGCTTGGCATCTTAATCTTTAGTGCTCTTTATAGAGCTCTATTTGCCAAAAACAATATAGGCTTTGTCTCAAGGCTGCTTGCAGCAAAAGTAAAGTTGATACATGGCTCTCTAACAAAACCAGTGCACGTCTTAACATTTTTATACCAGGCTTTTCTTTGTGTCTACATTAAGGGCCGATTATTTCATACAAATGGTATAACTTCCTAATTGAAAAATTGATGGTGATGAATAATGATGGAAATTTTTTAATCTGTTATACAAAGATTTCTGCTGTTGCTGAATCTTCAGCTTGGCCTCAATAAATACAAATTATTGTCTCCTTTAGAAACAACATAGGAGTGAAGAGATTTTTGGAATATGTTCTGGATCCCATGGTTTGTGTTGAGTCAATCATTACACTTGCCTGATCACCTGTACTTTGTGTAACAAACAAAAGCCCCTCCATGTCATTCCATGGCTATTTTTACAGTCAATTATGGTTTCCTATCATTGGGCTTTCATAAACTTGCCACTAGTTTACTTTGTTCTGTAAGTTTACTGGGTCCATTTTCTAGTGCTTAATGTCTCATTGCAAGTAGGATAGGGTTTTCTATCCAAAATTCTGGTGTTTCTTCATTAATGATGAATAAATTAGCTACCATCTCCCATCTTGTGAACTACCTTTTTAAAAAAAATACATATTTTATTGATTTTTTACAGAGAGGAAGGGAAAAAGGATAGAGAGTTAGAAACATCAATGAGAGAGAGAAACATAGATCAGCTGCCTCCTGCACACCCCCTACTGAGGATGTGCCCACAACAAGGTACATGCCCTTGACCAGAATCGAACCTGGGACTCTTCAGTCCGCAGGCCAACGCTCTATCCACTGAGCCAAACCGGTCAGGGCTGAACTACCTTTTTGCCTTCAAGGAGTCGTTGCTGGTTGATTACTTTCAAAATGAAAAGGGGGCCATTTATAACAGATCTGTCTCCGAGATCCTTTAAGTTCTGAACTGTGGAATACTAAATACTAATTCTTCCCTTTATTAATAGTAAAAAAAATTACTATGCATTAACAACAATAGAAGCATTCAGAAACACATTGAGCTAGCATTGTTATACTGTTTACATTATTTGCTCCGATGTTCATTGAAAAGGACAGAAAAATAAGCCAACTGCTTCACTTGTATTTTTTTATAACTTAAAAATTTTACTTCAAGAGCCTAGTTATTTCAAGCATTCAGTTTCACAGCATTTTTCTGACAAATGTCTAATTATAATATGAAGTTAAATGATTAATGCTTTGGTTCAGACTCATGTAAATCCATTTCTAATGTAATGTATGGAATTTCAGGATTTACACGGTACATTTTAGTATAAAGGTATAGTGACTAGGAAAATACATAGTGGATATTCAAATTCTTGTTAAATTTGCTGTAAATATTAATATTGCTCTACAAATTGTAGAAAATAGCAATAAAGTACTATTAACTTTCAGGTCACCTGTAAAGGCTCACAAATTTTTTATCCCTTATGTGTTGAAGTATTCCCATTTATCTTCCCCTTGTCCCTCTCTTTTGGGCTTTAGGGATTTCTTCAAAATAACAGATTCATTATATTTAGGTCGAATGGATTTCTCACATCTAATTTTTGTGTCGCTCCCCCCAGCCCCCTATAGTTTATCATGAATGGTTGTGACTGGCCTTGTAGGAAGCAAATGACTAGAAGACCATCCTCTAACTTCTCAGTTGCCTGTTCATTGTGGCACTTAGTTGGCAGTAAATCTATTCATCCTTCATGTCTTTAGCAACCAACCACACAAGTAACATGTTCAGTGGAATTAAGTTACTACAAAGGTTGTCACTCAGTAATTGTTTCTCATCTTTCAAACAATGTGAGGTGAGTGTTACACACCAGCTACTTGGAGAGCTGTTTTCTGCAGTCTAGTATCTCTACTTTTAATCATGGCAAGAAAGGAGATGGTAGGGATCTACAGGTTAGTTCCAGATACGATCTACAGCCAGTGTTCATCATAACTAGTTGCTATGTTCCACCATTGGCCTCTATTTAAGATAGACAGTTGAGTCTTCTTAAGTCAGACAACCCTGGTTGTGTATTGGAATCCCAGAGGAACTATTCTAAAAACACAAACCTCGATGCCCAGGTCTACCCACAAAGATTTTGATTTAAATGACCTGGAGTCAGGCCTCAGTATTGGTGCTTCTTTAGAATCACTACTCCAGTTATTCTAAGTTGCATCCAAGGTTGAGAATCAGTGTGTTTGCTTAGAATTTTAAAACATAGTATTGGGTTTTTTTCCTCAAAGAGGCAAACAACTATGCTATGTAAGGGTGAAAAGTAACTCCCCCATTTCATATTAAGGGAAAGAACTTGTATTTGAATTTTCTGTTAAGAACAGCTGGTTAGTTTTAAAGTGCATGCTTTTTCTTACCTAAATTCACCTCTTCAAGGTTCTGTTGAATATCATGGTAACTTGTCTCCGTTGAGGCAACTGTTGAAATGTAATTGCCATAGGTAGATGCTTGAGTTTTTTGTGTGGATGAGAACCAAAGCAAAGCACAGATAGCAGGATTTTAAATAAGGGTGGTGGTAGGTACTTCTGCTTGAAGGACAGCATTTTTTATAAACGAGTGAATTACTGTTACAAATCAGATGTGGAAGCTACCGTGATTCTGGGACCCTCAATTTCACTGTTGGTCTATACGTGTAGAACCTGGAAAGGAGGCTGACATGTTATGGAATCATATTTCAAACTAAATCTGCTTTAGAGCTGTTGAAATAGTATTCTGGATAGATGTCCCAAACTATTATTTTTCTCTTGTAAAACAGGAATTGTTTTTCATAGCCTACCCCTCAATTCTGTCTAGTTTACTCTTGCCTAGTTTAAGAAGTTGATAAGTGACCCTGGTAGTGTTGACACTGTTCACATTCTTTTCTTTTTTTAAAAAACTATATTTTATTGATTTTTTTTACAGAGAGGAATGGAGAGGGATAGAGAGTTAGAAACATCGATGAGAGAGAAACATCGATCAGCTGCCTCCTGCACACCTCCTACTGGGGATGTGCCGGCAACCAAGGTACATGCCCTTGACTGGAATCGAACCTAGGACCTTTCAGTCCACAGGCCGAAGCTCTATCCACTGAGCCAAACCGGTTAGGGCAGGCATATAGTTCTGTTTTGTTTTTTATTAAATCTTTATTGTTCAGATTATTACAGTTGTTCCTCTTTTTTCCCCCATAGCTACCCTCCGCCCAGTTCCCACCCCACCCTCTGCCCTTACATCCCCACACTGTCCTCATCCAAAGGTGTGCAATTTTTGTCCAGTCTCTTCCCGCACCTCCCACACCCCTTTCTCCCC